CCTAAACTTTTTGTTAAACTATGATTTTAGCCTTTCTTTCTTGAAAAGAGAATAAAAATTCTTCTTTTTTCATTTTATTTTTTAATAAATAAGAAAATAATTTAGGAAGAAAAAGTTTTCTTCCAAAAAGAAATAGCAAAAACACAATTTAGTATTTTAGAGTAAAGAACATGTCATCGAATAATAAAATAATTGATCGAAGTTGAACATAAGTATTTAATTGACATTTAGATTAGAAAAAAAATTAGTGCAGTCAGATGAAAAAAATAATTATATACTCAATTGAAAAAAAAAAAAGTAAAAAATTAGTATACTGTAGTGAAATTATCCCGAGCTTGTTTTGGCTGTTTCATTTTAATTAACAGCAGAGTAGTACCAGTAGTTAGTACGTTACAACTAATTCCTCAAATGGTCCAAATTGTCTCAAAATGGATTGCGCAGGCAGATTCCTCGCCCAAGCCAGCGAGCCATGCCACATTCAGCTGAGCCAAGCCAAAATATCAACAATAGTACTGATACTTCCTTTAAGTTAAAGAGAACAAAAAAGGCTTATTTTTTTGGATGGTATATTTAATAGTACAGTACCATAGACTACAATGTTTATTTTTTCTTTTCTCTTAAAGGGCGCAAAAAAGGGGGTCAGATGTTCTTATTGTGCTCTTTTGTGGGAATACAGTATGGAAGCGAGAAGCAATAGAAGTTGTCAGCGACGGCCGACAGGGGCAAGAGTAGAAGTAACCCAAGTTATTGTAGATGGATGTGATATTAAAATATTTTAAACCTTTTGATGATAAGGTGGATTTTAAGGATCCGTTTTGGAAAAAGTGTAGTTGTAATTATGGCTTTTATGATTGGAAGAACTATCTGGTAATATGTGATATTAAAATATTTTTATGTTCAATGAGACTCAAACACTATTAGAAATTTAATAATACATTCGTCATTAGTTGGTGATCAAATAGTGATCGTTTAAATCAATGATAGATTAGAGATAAAATAACAAAAGTATATTAGCAACTAATACTAATTTATTACTAAATTTGATGTTAAAATATTTTCAAAAGTTTTAGAGATGGTTTAACGATGGATTTATTAAAAAAAATAACGATAAAATAAAAAATCCATCGTTATTTACTATGTCATGATTTAGTAATGGATATTCCATCGCTAAAGGACATGTCCCTTGTAATTTAACGACGAGAGAATTCGTCACTAATGGTGAGATCTTGGATAAAATTGAATGAATTTTTTGAAAGATAAAATCGCTCAATTTGTTATTGATTCACGACAAACACCGATAAATTACGACGAATTGACGATGGACGCATATGTTTGTCGCTATATGTGAAAAAATGGGTGGCAAGTCGTGCAAAATTAGTCGGCCATTTTGACAAAGATTGGCAATGGATTAGCAAGGAGATCATGCTCGTCGCTATTTTTCAATCCCATTTATCGCCCTTCTTCTTCTTTCTTTAGCCGCATATTGTCATTCTCCTACCCTTTTTGTTCAACACTCCCCTAGTCCGTATCATCATCATTAGCTCAATATCAATTCTATTTTTTTTCATTCAATACTTCTCTCGCATGTGGGAATCTCCTTAGCAAAATTAAAATAAGACTTCTTTGCTAATTTGTTTTCATTCACTTGAGCTTGTCGTGTAAACCATAATTTTGGAGAAGTTTTATATCCAATTACATTCTTTGTATGTCTAATTAATTGTACCTTTGTCTTATAAAATTTATCGCAAATATTACTTCTAGCAACAACCATTGATCCCTTGGTGAGTTTTTATTTTCTACCGTCAAAATAATTATAGTATCCAATAATGTCTAAGACATGAGTAGAAATCAAATTCATGCATAAATTTAGTACATACAACACATCATTCAAAGTCAATAGACAACATGTACATGTCTTTATACACACATTACAAATTATAAAAACACCAACATAACTATTATTGTTTATCTTTGCTCTGTCAAAGTCTCTTGTTTTATACACGATAAAAAATTCCTTTATATAAATAGCATGATATATAGCCGCAAAGTCAATAACCCATTTAACATAAGGATCCGCAATATTTACACCTTTTCTCTTTATATGAGAGCACCAACACATCTCAATATGAAATTAATTAATACCGTAGCGATGTTCTTATTATCATCTTCTTGATTTTTAAAATTTTTCTTTCTTTATTTTATGCCTTGCATTTTTTCTTGATGTGATCTTCTTTTCCACAAGTAATAAGATTTAAAATTGTAATTGGTTTGTGATCTATCTTTGGATTTATCGTGACATTAAATTCTCTATTCCTACTTTTTCTTTCATTCCATGTGATAAGAGCTTGTGCTTCACTTGCTACCATTTTACTTTGTCTTGTTTCTTTATTAAAAAAGCTATCTCTAACCATAAAAAGCGATAAAACACAATTCAAAACTAAATTATCATGTGTCACAATTAAAATCTCCTAGTTGTCTAGCAAAGTTTCTAATAGCAATAATGCTTATGGCTTATCATCCAACACTATTTTTATGATCATCAACTAATTAATCAAATTATGAAAGCCATTCAATATTCAACAATAGATCTTCAATCTTGATATTTCAAATTCATGAGCTTTGTAATCAAAGAAGGATAAATGTTATAATACTCAAGGAGTAATTAGTGGACATGTATAATAGTTACTCTATAGAGAGAAATATGAGAGAAAATTAAAAAAAAAATTGAGCGAATGTGGAAATCTTCTTATCCTTTTTATGGGTCCGGATATAATTCTTTTTTTTTTATGTGTCTATCTCTCTCTTAAAAAATGGGTCTTTGGAGTAACTACCGTACATGTTCATTAGTTACTTCTTGAGTATTATAAAATTTCTTATCAAATAAGCTTTATTCTATACAATCTTTCTTTATACATAGTTTATAATTTTTTCCATAGTTCTTGAGTATTTGTCTCTTTGAATACATGTGAAATACAATAATGTTCTCCTACTCGTCTAATAGCTCCGGTAGCTTTTCTATACTCTTTTTCCAAGCATCATCAATCTTGACGAGTTGATTTGACTTTATCTAATCCAATCAGATCAAACAAATCATGGTAATAAAAGTAAATTCTCTATTCTCGACTTCCAAAGCGAATTATTCGAGCCATTAGTTTGATCATGGTTTCTGAATTGTATCATGGTTTCGAATTATTTTTCTTCGTCTAATTTGCTTAAATATTCTAACCAAAACTCGATACCGTTATTGAGAATTTAATCTCACTAGTAAATTAGATTTTGTGAGAAAATAATTAAACCAAACAAACACAAAAATCAAGATTAAAAAAAAATGAATCATAAGAGTATAATTATAAAAACACTAAATTTACATGGAAAACTCTCTCTATCATAGAGAAAAAAATCACTATCATAGAGAAAAAAATCACGAAACTAGCTTTGAAATAATCTATTATTATGAAGAAAGCAATACAATCACACGAGTTTCTCTATTAACTTGAGAAGTAATAATATTAGCAGTAATATAAGTTATTTTTTCTAACTAACTTCATCTCATTATGAAAACCTAAAATTTACAAAATACTTGTGTTTTTATAAAGTCTAATACCGTATAAGATCATTACTTGGAACATTGTAATTCTCTACGATTGTAGGATCCAAAAATTCAATGCTAGAGAAAGCTTCAATATTTTATGCATAAAAAAGCGTTGTTTTTTTCTCATAGAATTCGTGAAAAGAATAAGAAAAATCTTTTCTTTTTCCCCCTCTTCGATTACTCTCTTTGGCAATTACACATAAAAAAGACAAAATAAGGAAAATCCTTCTTCTTCTTCTTTTTGTTTTTTTTTTTTTTTAATGCATGTGTCACCTAAATAGAAAAAACCAAATAAGAAAAGAAAATTTTCCTTTCTAGTTTTCACAATAATCCCTTTTCTAATTAACTTCAATCTTTTTTCTCATTAATCCTTTTTCTAATTAATTATTTAGCTTCGTAATGCATTATGCTAAGATAATTCATAGACTGGATCTATAGGGTATACCCAACAGGTTGTGATGAGATGAATGGGGCAGCCGTGAGTTTTTTCTTTATCTCAAGAGAGAGTCGGTTTGGGAAAGGGACGAGGTGTAGCAGATGGTTTCCCTCTTGTTTCTCTTTGTTTTGGTTTGGTCCCTTACTTTCTTTCATTGTCACCTTTTAGTATCGTTGATTATGTTTTCCTCAGCTGTGTTCTCTCGTCATACTTAGATCACGGAGGGTGCGTTCTTCGCCAGGACAATCCCATACTTGCATGCTTTATGCGCAGGTAAATTACATATACCGAACTCTTGCATGCCAAAATTACACTTTTATTTGTTGTGAATTTGCTCCTTATTTGCAGCATGTGGGATTTTATGGCTTGCATTTTTATGTAGTTCAGATCGACGAGATTTTTAAATTTAGGTTTTGATGTTGGCCTAATGTGATTTCAAAATAATTTTTGTTTAAATTAGCATTTTTATTTTATAAAAAATTTCATTCTTTCATTTGCAAACATTACTCGCGATAATTTGCATTTTTATGGGTCGTATTTTCATGCCCTTGAATATTTTGTATGAAAAATTTAATTGGATCCAATTTCGAGTGGACAAGATTCTTGATATAGGATTCGATGTCTGCTAGGTGTGATTCCACAAATAATTATGTAATTTTTTTTATTTTTAATCTCTTTCAAAATTTAAATGGCCATTCCGTTTTTAATCTTGTTTAGTCGGGAAGTTTTTATTTTCTTCTTTGCTTTAGTTTTCTTCTGGGCCTTTTCAAGTTCATTGGGTTCATCAGGGTCAATCATGGGCCTAAAGAAAGTCTCAAATACATGACTTTCATTACTTGGAGCACGCCCATCAGGAACCAAGTCCCCCACAAATGCTCCGTCATTAATGTCTGGCCCATTACTAAAATATAACGGACTATTTGGATTCACCCTTTCCACGTTGGGCTTAACTACTAATGGGCCATCAAATAGCTATTCTTTCTGCTGCCTGGTATTGGGAATATCAGTTAAATTAAGAGAGCCAGTTTCCAAGGAGTTGGGCACGATCTCCTTACGCTCTTCACCATTTTCCAAAACAGGCAAGCTCGTCGTCTCTTCAGCTTCTGCATTTTCTTCATTCTGCTTCGCAGACCTGAGAATACAGGATGACACACGAAGCTCCGCCTTCATCTGTTTAAAGCCGGCCATCAAGTCATTCTGCAATATACCATCGCCACCGGAACCATTTCCAGCATTCCCGGACTTCGTATTTTGTTCCCTATCTGGTGGAGAATCCTTTTCCTCAGAATTGTTCTCAGAAGGATTTAATTCTAATCCATCCTTATCAAAATGATGAGAATCGGAAGAACTAGAATCAGAATTGTCAATCCCGGGCTTGATTGCTTTCCTTTTATATATCTACACAGCTTGGGGTGATCTCCAAAGAAGGCGCCTCTGTAATTTTTTTCCTGAAAAACTGACTCATTGATCCCCACTCATATGGTTCTAGCTAGCAATGTGCTCTCTTAAATAAGTAACAATAAAAATTCTTTCGGTATCAAATTTTAGCTTTTTCAATGTCGAATACCAGCCCATGAGAGAGCTAATCATCCTGAAGAAATCTTCATCCCAAACATGAAGAGGTACACCTTCTATACGAAGAAGAATAAACCGCTTACTTGCCACCAACTCAGGTTCCCATGGTTTTATAACATCAAACCATTGATGTAGCCACGCACTCCAGAGCTGATAATTCAATTGAATCCAAGGTTAGAACTGTATTACCACCCATTGGCTTAGGTAAGACACATGAGACACCTTGCATATTGAAATACTCATGAAGATTCGGTATAACTTTTGGGGATCTCGCATAAGCCACTGCATTTCTAGTAAGCCATTCCATATCCTCCTTTTTAACCTCAAAAGTCGAGCATGGGGAGTTGTTTGCTTTGATGGAAACTTTCTTCTGTTACCACAATTGTTTCTAGTCTGCTTTCTCTTTTCTCAGCCACAACAGGTGGTTTGCCTCTAGATCTCCCAGACCAATTGGGACTATTTCTTCGCTTCCTAAAACAAGCAATATTAGCTCTGAGTTATCCATATTATGTTAAGATCCTTCAGAAGCTACTCACCATTGTCCTGAACGAGCATACGGTACCGAGGAAAACAAAACCAAACCACCTTTTATATCTATTGAGTTTGTTTGGAGTGTTACATTGACTTTCCCTAAACGAGAGAGAACATTCTTCAAGTCTAAATCGAGCCAGGCCGAACACATGCTCAGTATTATTGGTCGTGTATTGATTCTTGTTGCTATAATATTCTATATATGGTCTCTACCCATTTATTTATTTTTGTTTACAATGACAACTATATCCTGATTTATTTGCAATTTTTTTCCCATGTTTTTCTCCTTATTTTGAAGTAAATTTTAAATTAGTGTTTCTAATTTCAGAAAATTAATTAATTAGTCTCTCTTGTTTTAAAAAATAATTATTCTATATATATATGGAAAAGAGTACATGGAAATCAAGACGATTCGAACAGTACAAGACTATATATGGGCAAAACCAAAAAATTAATAGCATCATCTTCTTTCTCATCCTTGGCATTAATCTAAATACATGAAACTGATTTTTCTCTGACAACGGATCTTTTGTGGGACATTAATCAAAATTTTTCCAACATCAGTATCTCTGATTTTTCTTTAGCACTACAGAACAAAATCCTCAAGAGGGTGCAAGTCTTGTAAAAGTTCTCAAATCACCATTTCCTAAACCGTTATTCTCAGAATACAATCATTTGGGAGAAGGATCCTAACCATTTTAGCTGTATATGACTTCCGTTTCAAACAGCTCTATAGAATCGCCTTCTTTGAAATCCGATAGCGACTAGCAACTTGTCTTCGCCATTCATGAATTGGCACCTGCAGATCAGACCAAGAAAATAGTTTTCAGATTAATTTGAATTTGGGCTGTCCCTAGGAATGAATTGACACCATGAAATTTGGCCACGCTATAATTTCTATTACAATTGCACATCAATATCAGATAGAAGAATGAAACGAATAAATCTTACAGCAGGGAAGCCACCATAATCCCCAGGTTCTCTAATGTCCTTGGTCACACAGCTATTAGCAGCAAGCCGGACCTGAAACTCAACCAAATCAGATATCTCGTAACAGACACCATAATTTATATCAGTTACAGTCGTTAATACAAGGCCATCATATGTAATTGAATTTACTGATCCATGCGTACTCTAATGGAGGTAGTGATAGTAATATGTGACAGACAGATACAAGTTTACAGACAAAAGATTTCTCTGAATACTTCCAAAGCCTTAAATGAAGGCTTCAGAGTTGAATGCAATTTTGATGCTTGAAACTCATAAGAACTTTGGAGTATGTCCTTGTAACTACACAAAGAAAGTGGCATTGCTTTGCATGATTCAGCTTTTCATGGACTATAAGTGTCAATGTGTCAATAATCCGAAGAAAGAATCAATTCACTGTTGCTCACAACCAAATACATGATTTAATACCTTTGATGCAATAGATACATGATCACGAACTGCAACCCTTCCTCCTAAAGTGATGTAGTCTCCCATGCTAAACAAGAACCAAAAAAGAGAGATGTAAACTACCAATGCCTTCAAAACCTACCCAATCTATTTACTGAACTTAAAACACATAAAAAGGGAAATTTGAAGTATTTCAAAAGAAACAGCATCATAAACATATTCTTCAGAAGCAACATACGTCACTGAGCCTGCAACCCCAACCTGTCCACAAAGCATACAACCCTTTCCTATAACCACATTGTGACCAATCTGCAAAGCCAGATAGAAAGCCAATTAGATACAACTGAATGAGAATATCATCTGGCCAATAATGGAAAGAGAAGAGAAACTCACTTGGACTAAATTATCTAACTTGGAATGATCCCCAATAACGGTCTCTCTCCAACTGTACATAACCAAATGGGTGGCATACTTAGTCATCTAGTTTGGACAGATTCCAAGTTCAAGCTCATTTACTATTAAACATACATAAATATGAGTAAAAATCTAATTCCAATAGCATCACCTTCCCCTGTCAATGCATGTATTTGCCCCAATCTCTACATGATCTCCTATGATAGCATTCAGCAGCTGAAAAGTAAAGAAGAAAATAAGATCCAGAACTGAACAAGAGATTTGAGGCACTCATTTGGATTTTCTGGAAATGGGTATAAGGAACCATTGTGGCATATCCAAAAAAAAAAAAAAAAAAGTGTGAATGGCACACATTTGGATTTTCTGGAAATGGGTACCAGTGATATTGCGAATTTTCACTTTTACTGATCATGATGCTCCACAAGACATTTGTTCATGAAATACGCAAGAAGAATGTCCCGATCCATAAAACATATATACATATATTTAGTGTATGTCTAAATGTGAGAGTCCGGGGGTCAGGGGTGGTGCGTGCGTGCGTGTGCTCTTATGCATATAGAGAGAGAGAGAGAGAGGGAGGGAGAGAGAAACAACAAAATCAATTGAAATTGTCCTCAAAAACTATAAATATCACCAACTTGAGGCTTCTTCATCATGCTGCCTTTGTCATCCACAAAAAACCCAAATCCTGTATGCAAAAATCATATGATTTAGTGACCAATATTTCACCAACGAAACCACAGGTCCAAATATGAAGTGAATTGGGTAGAAGCAGAGTTAACGGAAGTTTAAAAACGCAAAATGTTAAAATTTTCATAGTGAAAAAAAACTATATATTCAATTAGTCGCATGCATTGCTATTCCTACACATTTATTTAATCATAAATCAGTTTGATATATATCACTATCAACTATACATGGTAAGCTACTAAGAACATAAAAGCTATACATATCCTTGTTAATCAAATAAAGCAGGTAATGTTTGAACTCCAAATTTAAAAATAATCAAGCCTCACCATCTTGACCAATGCATACTCCATGGTGAATTACACATGAATCCCCTATACTACAATTACTCAGAGCAACATTATACCTGACAAAAAAAAATCAGAATGTCTATCAAAAACCAATAATACTAATCTCAAAATAAAATTCTACAAAGACCCTTTTTTGCATTAAGAAAATGCATTATACCCTATCTTTGTAGAGTGACCAATAGTAACTTCAGGTCCTATAACCGTTCCTGATCCAACAAGAATATTAGAACCCAGTACAGCTTTTGAATGAACTACTGCGCCGATTTCAATTAACACTGTTGGGTCGATGCAAGCTGATTTGTGGAAAGTTCCACCTCCATTGTCCCATTTTGAATATTCTTCACAAGGAAAGTAAATCAGGTGTCAGTTAGTTAATGCATTGTGCCAGAGACATTTTAACAAACAGGTTGCATGCAATGAAAATTTGAACTTGAGTCGTGTCAGCAAGCTCTGGTTTAAAAATGTTTATACGCTTACCAATTTGATTAGTGGAGGATGCTGAGTAATGTAAGACACGAAAGCGTTTAATTGGTAGCTTTAAGGAAATGTGATGGGATAATCTTTTGACAGAATTTGCCATTATAAGCTACTAGCAGTGTGGTTTTGAACTGAGAAAAGAACAACCAGTGGACAAACGGACAAACTCACTTCGCGCTAGTATTTAAAAATAGTTTATCAATCACGCTGTCTTTTTCTTTCCTCCTCTATTTTTTTTAACGTTCTATATTCGTTAAAATAAATACGCATTTTAACAAAAATAGCAAAATCATAATATATATAACATTTATATTTATAAAATAGTCGATAAGGAAGGAGACTAAACGGAATGTCAATCATCAGCACTTCCATCTCTGCACGGGTATTTGCACCGACCTTTATACCCGTCTCTGCTACCAAAAATGTTCCTCTGTATCCTCCGTCGATTCGCATCATCAGCATTTCCATTGCTATCGTGAAATAAACATTTCACTCAAAAGTTTAAGCTTATTAGATGAGATTTTAAGATATAATTTATATTGTTCTCTAATATATTTTCTCGGGTAAAATCTTTTTGGACTTAAAATTTATACATATCCACGCTACCTTATACTTAATTAATAAAAAGAGAAAGAAAGAGAGTAGGATTCGAACGTACGATCTTTTGATCATCAAAAATCTTATACCATATAGAAAAATATAAAAAAGAATAATAGTTATATTGTTGTGTATAATACAAAGAATTACAACCTACATATATACACTAAATGAACTAGCTTATTTAGAAAGTATTAGCTATACAAAGAGACAAAATTTCCTAAGTTAGTTAATATACAAATTTTCTATATTTACACTGTAAATTATTCTATTCTTAATTATTTCCTTTCAACAGCCATTCACAAGCAGGAGGGTAAAGATCATTGTATTGAAGCTTTGGGAATTTTTTTCTATTAAAAGTGTACTGTAGTTACTCTATTTCTAGATAAAAGCAACTCAATCCCTTTCTAACAGCGTCGTAATTTATGGCAATTACTGATCGGAACAAATTGACCAACATTTTTGTTAATTTTAACGTTAATCAACCAAATTTAAAACTCAGAGCGTAAGAATCACTTTGTTAATAAGGATGCTAATAGATCGAATCAAGGTGGGTTTTTGATGTATCCAAACTCATCTTATTCTAGAAAAATTAAAAGAGATGACACATGAACTGTGCCCTTCCCTGTTCTTCTAAGCTCATGTTCCTCCAAACTTAAATGTTCTAGACCTTTAACTATTCAAATGAAAAGTTTTTTTTTTAATTTGCCATCCTGACTTGGTAATTCCCTCAACCGTTTCTACAAGAAAAATCCCTTATTTGTTCACTTTTTGGACTATAGTCCGTTTCTATTGCCTATGTGCATTTGTTCACTTTTTGTGTATGCCTGACTTGCTTTTTTATCAGTTACGTCTTTGTGTTGCCTTCTTAGTGTTTTCTATTGGTCCTTTTCTTTTTCTTTTGCTTATAAAATCCCTTATTTCTCTGCGCCTTCTCTTTCGTTTTGCTCTGTTTTTTCACTGTAGAAGTACTCTCTCTCTCTCTCTGTATTTCCGTACATGAGCTTCATCGATGTTGTTGCTTGTGTTGTTCTTATTAATTTCCTTGCACTTTCTTCTTTCTGATTTTGTTGTTCTCTATTTTTTTTTTCTTTTCATGCGGTTGTTTCTTCTCTTTTGCCTATTTTTTCCCCTTCTCATTCGTCTATCTGTTCTTTTTTTTTGGGTCATGCCTGCATAATTTTTTGGCTATTATTTGCTATTTACCATGTTCCCTCTGTTGCTTTAGTTTTTTGGCAAATTTCCTGCATCGTTGTGGGTTTTACATATATTAATGCCCATCTTTGTCAACTATTTAGTGCTGTTTTTGTTCTTCTGTATTCGTTTTTCATTTTTTTTTTTTGCTGTTTTGGATGCCAGTTGATGCAGCTGCCGAGAGCGTGCTTCTGCACTTTTTGAGTTCCTCTTGTCCATTTTCTTGCCTGACTCTTTGTGATGACTTCTTTTCGTGACTTTTCTTTGTTGTCTTTTGTGTGTCCATTATACTTTGTTCTTGTCGTTTGTTTGTTTCTTTCGTACTATCTACGAGCTCCATGCTTTTTTTGATGTTTTCATTTGTTATATGCATTCTTTATCCCATTTTTTTCTACTTGCATGATATTTTTATTTTTAAAACAATATAGTCGTTGGTTGTTCATGTTTTTTTAAGACAATAGAGTAGGATTGGTTGTCCATCTTGATTGTTGTTTTCATGTTTTGTGTTAATTGTTTGTTTGTCCTCATTTGCCTCTTGCGCCCTGTCATAAGCATTTATGAAAAGATTTGTTTCTCCCATTAAGAAAATTCTCATGAATCATTGTTTGTAGATTGTTTTTTTATTCATGCAATGATTGTTGTCTTTCAAGTGTTTATGCATTGTTGTTGGTTGCAAATTATGGATTTCTTATTGCTGTTACGATTAGATTAAAAAATTCATCATCCCTCTCATTCAAAAGAAACGTAACAAAGGCATGCATGGCTACTGCAGAAATATGCTCCCTCCATTTTGGGTTTATATAGGTTTAAACTTGAAAAAAAATCATCCTCCTCCCTCACATAGTCATAAAATTTGATTTACAATGGTTTTACATCCAAATATTTCAAACTAAGATAGTTTTTAGAGACAAAGAAAAGCCATGGAAGATTATTTACCTCTTGAAGCTTTATTTTTTTGATGGAAGAAGAGTCACTTAAGATTAAATCCACCTCCCTTCTTACAATGAAGAAGAGGAAATGGCCGAAGGTTTCAAGCTCCAAATCCAGAAAGAAACTTCCCTCTGCTTTTCAGGATATCCTACTGTCTCTCTCCCTCTCTTCTCTCTTTTTTTTCATCACTATTTGTTCTTTTTAAAACCATCTCCCTTTCAATATTAACCTTTTGGTCTTCTATCCTGGATCACGGGCCTTCCTTTCCCATCCCTAAAAATCCTCCTACTGACCATTTTTACTTCTTTGCAGCCGAGAGTTATAGTGAGGGTCAATGAATCATGAACAAGCATGGCCTAGTGGGGAGGTGTCATTATGAGGGAGGGGACAGATGAGGCGCCAGACCAGAAAAGTTGGTGGTCTCCAGTAAAATAGGGAAAAAAAATAGAGAAAACATGCTATCTGTTTATCCTCTTCCGCAATTTAGCATCGAACCAGGGGGTGCAAATTCGAAAAGTCGAACGATAGGTCTTTTGACCGAACATTCATGTTCGTCTTATCGTTGGTGCACCTCTCCCAATTTCATCCCTTTATGTTTTAATTTCCTTTCAATTGAGTCCCTCGAGTGGAGTATTGTGGTCCTTTTTGTCATAATTTTCACAGATTGGTCCCTGTTATTTATAAATTGACTCACAAAAGTTTAAATTAATTACAATTAAAACCCCAAAAATTTAAAACTCTTTTTCTTATTTTTTCTTGGTATTTATGATAAAATAATGAATGAGAATTTAAACTAAAAATTCAAACATTAGATGAAACCAAAACCTAACAACAACATTAACAATAATAATATAAAAAATGACTAATCAAGGGAAATCTACACTAGGAAAAATAATAAAATAAAATAAAAATTCTAAATTATCATGGGTCGAAATTAGGGTTATGATACTCTTGGTGGGGGATGGACATACTTAGGACCTCTTCCCAAAACCTTAAGGAAAAGACAACTTGTCCTAGTAATTGTCGATAACTTCTTTAAATAAGTAAAAGTAGAAGCCTTAGCAAATATCGTAACCAATAGGGTTATATCCTTTATGTGGAAGAACGTAATATTTTGCTTCGATTTATCCAAAATCTTTATCATGGATAATGCCCTACAATTCGATGGTGAAAAAATGGAAGGAACATTGTCGAAACTCTATATGTCTCGGTTCTCCTCGATATCATACTCTCAAAATAATTATCAAACTGAGCTCCCTAATAGAATCTTTTTAAATGGGCTCAATAAAAATATTAAGAGGCAAATGAAGAATGGGCGAAACTCTTAGATGAAATCCTATGGCCTATAAAACAACCGAGAAAAGCTTTCACGGGAAAAAATCTATTCATGTTAACCTATGGAGTGGAGGCAATATTTCTTGTAGAGATTAGTTGTCCTAGTCATTGAATACAAAGCTATCCTAAGAAAACAAATAAAAAAGAAATGAGGGCCAATCTAGATCTTTTAGAGGAAACCTATCCGATTGACTCGATAAGAAATGAAGCCTACATGTAGAAGACCTTTCAATATCATAAAGCTCGAGTTAAAAATAGGCATTTTTGTATTAAAGACCCTTTTCTAAGAAAGTTAAGAGGTTATGAGAAATTTGAAAACTAAAGAAGAACTAGCATCCAAATAGGATGGAACTTACAAAATGGTGAGGATCATCAAGACTAACACTTATCATTTGCAAGATGTAAATGAAAAAAAGCTGCCTAACATGACATTCTAACCATTTAAAAATACATCATTAGTGTCATGCGATGACCTACAGGCAATCGTCAATAATGATAATTGAAATGTAGAGTTGCCACTCAATTTTTTAAAGATGATATTTAAGAAAAACCTAACATCGATCCTAAGAGTTTTGACTAAGAGAGTTGGTTACATAACTAGAGAAGACTACAATCACCCTATTATGCCCTCATAATGAAGTTATCTTATATTTCTAGTTTATAAAAATTTCATTTGTGCAAGTTCATTTTGGGTCTACTTTTTTTATCCTGATTTGGAAGTTGATTATTGGGTATTTTCTAACTAGTCATAAGAGAAGTGATTTAAAAACTAAAAGAAGACTCAATCTCTCACCTAAGCGTTCTTTGGGATTGAAGCTTACTTTGAAGGGTGGAAGTCGGGGCTCATACCACTATTTGTTAATTAAATAACCCTAGCCCAAACAATAACATAAAACATAAAACAACGACAATTTAGGACCTTAGGTCTCAAGTTCACTCGCCAAACTATAAAAATAAAATTACAAATTCCAAAATGTATGAATAAAAAATTCTAGAGAAATAAGGACATGAGCCTTAAGACCACATAAACCTACCATGCCACTTAAA